ATCCACTTTTACAAAATTTCACGAAATTTTAACATTGACCATAATTTTTACTGTTAGAACTATAGGGCTTTCATATTTCACAGGTGTATTCCATTTCACAAGACATTCCTTTGGATGTCAGCAGTTTTGACCTTGGGGTTTGTCAAACCTTTTAAAAACATGTAACCTTGATAAAAGCTGTTGAACAAAAAACACTAGGGCTTTCATACCTCAAGGGTGTATTCCTTATGACATGATCTTCCTTTGAATACCAGCAACTTTGACCTTTTATAATGTAACCATGACCAAGGAGTACGATTTATTGATTGTGTGTTGTTGAACGTCCTTCTCAGAGATTTTTCACTCCTATGGAGACGTCAGCACTTGCTGGTGCAGAACTGTTTATTCTGTCCTATACTCGGCACTGAGGGCTATTGGGTAGGGAGGGAACTTTTTCATGCCAGCACCTACTGACACACGGGACCTCGATCACTTTATAGTCTCATCCTAAAGACCGGTCTTCCCCTAGCAGAGACCCAGGAGTTTGATCTACTCCTTAAAAACTGTAATCTTGGCCATAACTTTTGAACACAAGCACCTCTACTAATGTTATTGTGATTTAAATTCAAGACACGAGGTTAAGGTTTGCCTATTCAAAGGTTATAGGGTAGAACCGGTTTTATAAATAAAATTGGCAGTAAATAGGAAATTGCTGTAGTCTGTTTCTTCTGAAAACATGTCCTGTGAAAAATGTGTTTCCACAACTTTCTGAAAGACTTTCATAATTTTCAACAACAGAAATGAGTGGCTTAAGGGGGGGGGGGTTAAATAACAATTCATACATCTTATCATAGTTTACTGAAAAATTATTGCTCACTAGCGACCGATACGCTGGTAAAAAAAAGTGTAATACATGTATAATCTACACTGATAAACCTTTGTTTGTCTTATATGGGTATTGTTATTAATGCGCACAGAGGATCTTACCACGCGCAATTGACCAATTGTTGATTGAATACGTTTACGCCAAATACGTTACTTCGAACACGTGGTTCAGGTACATCTATGATCATGTCATTGGAGAGCAAAATAAAAGAAAAGTTCTTATGAACAAAATGCAAACATTAGAAACTACAAAAAATATCAAAGGCGTTTTTAAATTGTTGTTTACTAGAGAAAAATATGTTTTTAAATAAAATATAAAGTTTATTCGGAACATCAGCACTTCAAGGGTAAGGAAAACGAGCAGCTCTTCGTATGCATTTAAATGGACAAAACATTTTTTTTACATAACTATACTCGTGATTACGTGTGTTAACCAGGGAATCCATCTGACAATTGTATTCACCGATAGTACAATAAAGGAATTTATCAAGCGTAAAATTCTTGTAGTATTCGTGTAGTAGCCCATAATGCAATTCTCATTCATCTGATTTGTCAGTCAAAGTCACATTAGTGCCTCATTTGCTAATCTGACGCCAAAAAATATAGTCCCGGTTCCCATGCAAATTTTTTGTCCAAAAAAATATTTTAATTCATGACAGCAGAAAAATTTGTATCGGCATAGAGAATACTTATAATTTAAACTTGAATGAATTCAAGAAAGATCGATTGAAGTACATTTCTACAGAATAATATTATAGGGTGGTGAAAACTAAAACGCAACATAACTTTTCTGTTTACCATGTCTCCACGTGCTAGTCACTTCCTAGCCACATTTCCGTGAATAATTTACCCTATCTCGCCAAAGCCACTGTCAGAGCTACTCTGAACTCATCGGGTATTATAGTTTGCAGAACACCAAAAAATAAAAGGTTCCGAAAACATTAGTAGGGGTGACTAGGCACTAGTATTTTTATATTTCACAGATGTAAGGGTTGACCTTCCTTTGGATACCAACAATTTGACCTTGATCTTGGAGGTTGACTTGCATTTCAGAAACTTCAACCCTTGCCATAAGCTACCAAATGGGTGCTTCAGTATTTCACAAACAAATCTTGGTTTTCTATATAAATACATGATCAATAAATGTATTTTTCAAATCAGTCCTACCTCGGAATAGTTTTTGTGCAACTAGCCCAAGGTGAAATATTCATCAAACTATTAACCACTGCATTAGTTAAGTTTAAATTAGATTAGCAGTTATGGAGAGGAAGCTGAAAATGTTAAACGTTAAAATTCAAACTGACTGACAGATGAATGCCATTCAATATGTCATCAGAAAAAGCTTTAAAGGAAACTGAGCTTAAAACAAAAGGAAAACCTCCAATTTTATTTACATTCATTAATAACAAGATAGATTATGAAAGTTTTTCATAATTTGATGATAAAACTAAAGAAGACAACAATGACTTAGACATTGATAGGGACAATTAACTTTGCATCCTGAATGTCAATAAATGAACTACATATCAACTTGTGCTTCTACAATAAAACATAGGCAAACTAAATAAACATGATGATATCAATTTCCTGGTATGATTGCATCTTGATAAAGAAAAGAAAAATGAAACAGTATAGGCATTGCCTTATAACTAGTGAATGTACAGTGTAATGCAATACTTGTAGAAAACTTTGACACATAGCATTCATTTTTATCCTATAAGGCACAGCTATATATCTGACAAGTGTCTCTAAACTTCATACACTCCATTCCAAAAAAAGCAAATAAAACAACCTTTACATTATTCTTCAATAATTTCTTTTGTAAAATGGCAATATTTAATGTGTTTCATTTTAACACTTTATAACATAAACTGTATGTCAATTACCAGTAACAGCAAAGTCTTGATAGCAAAAAAAATTTCTTAAATGTTTGAATTTTTATCTCCTGGAGATAATATTTTGAAGTTCCTTACACTCAATGTTTACAGCCCAGATATATATTGCTATAATAATACAGAGATCAAGCAATATTTTAATGTAAATAAATTGTATGAATGACTTCAACGACAACAAAGAGGCGTCATAATCTTTACATAAAATAACTAAATAAGTTACATTTTCTGTGGAAAAATGAAAATATTGTACAAAGCTATCCTGCATCTTAAAAAAAGCTATAAAGCATACATGGATATGTACAGCACTATGCCTAGGAGTTATTATATATTACACTGTACCATGTGTATCACCATAAGCAAAGCTAATCACCACTGTTTGAACTAGCTTTCGTGATGGAATAATCATTGCTTCATGACTATCAAAACAATACAGAAATTTCTGAGTCTTTTCTGTGGTATTGCATAACAAAATATTGTTTTAACAAAAAGTACTTTGATTTTAAGCAGAGATATAGAACTCAGATGAATTCAAAGTCAAATCATATGTTGTCATTTGAAGAAATACTTAAGCAATATTTAAGTTGGGTGTGATCTTAAGAAACAATGATAGACATTACAGGAATCTTTCCTAATGTACAACTAGATTTGTGATTACTAATCTAAGCTTTCTTGCATTTTTATACTACAAACCTATGTTCAAATAAAACTAAATCTACATTTAAGAACTTTATATGAAAATAAACAATTTTGGTCTCACTAAAGCACCATCACCTGTTTTAAATAATGTTCTGATTAGGGACTAAAATATCTGATTGGATACTATAAAAAAAATCAAGGGGCCATATTGCTCACCTGAGTGTTGGTAGAGATGAGAGAAACACAGTTCAATAAAAAAAATTTCAATGTATGAATTTGTTACTCTTGGGAAAGAGATTTGAAATTTTTTCTTTAAATCCGTATGATTATATTTGATCCCCTTTTGTGCCCCCCACCCTATCCCTGGGATTAGGTTTGATGGAACTTAAGTCTACATAACATGAGGATGCTTTTGTATCCAAAAGACAAATGCTGGCTTTGCTGTTCTACAGAAGAAGGTTCTAAAATTAAAATCCTATATATTCCTTCCTTCAAATATAAATGTGTTCCCCATATTATTGTCCAATCCTACCCCTGGAGATATGTTAACTTTGAAAAGAAAAAATAAATTTACTCTGTATAATGTGTGATGAAGCTTTCACTCAAGTTCTCGCACAGTGGTTCTTTAAAGGATTTCAAAAAGAAGTCATAAAATTTTCACTTATTTGAAATTATCTCCCCTTGAAACAGGAAACAGGGTGTGGTCCTTTACATAAATAAAATTAAATTCCTTTCAGAGAATGCTTTGTGTGAATTAAGTTTGGTTGACACTGGCTGAGTGGTTTAAAATTGTGAAAACTTCCCAAACCACATATAACAAACAGACATTGAACTCTCTTCAATCAGAAAAAGCTTACTTGAGCCCTGGGTTCAGGTAAGCTAAAAATATTTCCTCTAAGAAAAACAAAACATTATTACTTAACATTTCTTTAAGCAAAATTCTGGACTTTCCGGGTACAAAAAAAATTAAAATTCATTTGATTTGTTTCAAGATGTTCAGATATATACATATTTACAACAAAATACAAAAAAAAAATCTTCCAAAAATGGAATGGATTTCCTTAACAGAAAGACACACTTAAAGACAGGGTTATAGAGTACCTTCTTGTAAAAAAAGTCACTTCAGAGTATTATCATCAACACATGACTCTTACACACTCAGATAATTAAATAATTGTCTGTACAATATTATGTAATACAGTTTGTTATTCTTTAATATAACCAGCACCTTAATTTTTAATAACATTAGCAATAAAAAAAAATGTCACAATAATTTTCAATTATACACCATTGCTTTTATCACAAGCTTACAACACAACAAACTGAATTATGCTTTCTTCATGAAATTGATGCTGATCATGTAGTTACAAATAAAGAAAAAAAAATGCACAAAGTGAAAAGTGAATCTCCAAGATTTTACATAGAGTACCGTATATACTCGCCTATAAGTCGGTCTGCCTATAAGTCGGTTGTATTTAATAAGTTTATACATCAGAGGGACTGACCTCATATAATACCATTAATTTTATAGCTCGCCTATAAGTCAGACATAGAATTTGGACTAGAAATTAACTCCCAAAAATCCGACTTATAGGCGAGTATATACGGTACCTTGTATAGAAAAAACAATTAGTTCCCAAAATCAATCATTAGAATTAAAAGTATGATTGACTTTTCCATCATACTCTTAATAACAAAAGTGATTTATCATTCTAGAATTTCAAGCATATCTTCCATGTGTACATTTACATACATATAAACTTCCTCATTAAGTGAAAGTCAACTGATTTATATCCATAATGTGTACTGCATGTACTTTTATCAAAATATTTAAAGCTTCTCTAAAAAATCTACTTCTCTGCTTTGCTTGAGTAGCTCAAGTATTATTAAACCATTTGCTCGTAAGATCTTATCAATTCTAAGATATCCCAGTATCTGAATTGAGAACATAAAATATGATTAAACACTTTTTGCAGCTAAAGTATATATAACAAGCAACTATTTAATCTGTTTATTTGCACAATCAAAAGTACCTATGCTTCATCTGACGTACACTTGCAAACACAATTTTTAATATAACTCCCAGTTCTTTCAATTCTTTTGCTGAGAATGCATATAGAAATATTAAAGTGTGAAGGACATAACTTTATGTTTGTATTTTGTTCTATTTCACCTCAGATAAAAGAGATTCATTTTTTCCGTCTGTTCATTTCAAACACAGTAGTATCTTCATCATCGTCGTCGTCATCTGCGTCGAGTGGCGCCATCTCGTAGTCTGCCCCACGTCCCGTGATCAATCCATACTTCTTTGACTTGTTCCTCTTTCTTCTCACTCTGTCAAAAATCAAACTTGAGTAATAAATATTTCATTATTCACAAAAATTTGAAGTACTTATAGTTATTGTGAAAGAAAAAAAATAAAACCCACATCACCAGAACACTGATTTTTTAAATTTCAATTAATACAATTACAGACAAGCAATACGTTTAATTAAGAATTCTGATATAAAAAAATGCAAAATAAAATTTTCATGTTTAATAATGCAGTAACAGATGATTAAAACCACAGACAATTGAGGTGATCTCAATACATGCACACGTAGGAATTTAGGTGGACTGAGGACATGGGCCTGGATAGCTCAGTGGTTAGAGTACCTGACTAGAAATACAGGGGTCCAGGGTTCGATTCCCTGTCCAGCCATATATTTTTATTCATATGTATTTATGAATTTTCAATGTATGTTTACTCAATCCTTCTTTACATACAGTACTATGGTTAATGTGTCTGCTCCAAATTTGTGGAGTAAGGAGTTGATCCTTGTGTCATGGGTTCAAATTCCACCGTGGGATGAGGAGTCTGTGTAATGTTTCTATTAGTCAAACTCAAGACATGTCGTGCTGCATGCTTTTTTTATTCTGCCCCAGAGTTACATTTTTAGACTAAACATTAACAAACTGATATAAACGGAATCGGATAAAAACGGATTGCATGTACATATCATTACATCTTTCCCCTTTTAAAGATAAAATGTACAAAATAAACTTTTACTGTTAATTTAGATAGAAAATTTCAAATTCATAATTTACTGAAAGTTAGAGATATAGAGTATAACATATTTACATAATATATACAGTCAATCATGAATTCATCTTTCAATATACCGGTAAGTTCTCAAATTTTATAACATTGGGGATTATTATGCCCCTCACACAATTACATCACTTGGGGATTATTATGCCCCTCACATAATCATATCACACATAATCCTGGAATCTTTTAGGTCGTCTGACCTCACGTCCGGATCGTGTTTTATACGTTTCTGCTCGTATCGGCTGATTTGGCTCTAATGATTGTTCTGGCACACTTTTCTCGAATACTGGCTGCACTGTCTCACTGAAGTCATCTAGGTCATCATGTTCTGAGATAGCTTTTCGAAAACTCGTTTCCTCTGATTTGATGATGTCTCTGCGATTTCGACGAAATTTATCACCATTTAAGTTTTCTACATTGTACGATCGATCATGAACTTTATCTTTCACGTATCCTGGCATCCAATGTCCTCTGTGTTGGAATCGAACTGTATTTCCCGGTTTCAAATACGGAAGATCTTTCTGTCCACTGTTGAAATACTTCTTCTGTTGATCCTGTGAGTTTCTTCTTTTTTCATAAGTTTTCTCTGCTGGAATGACTTTAGGTCTGAGTTGTTCTTTGGTTATGGGTAGAATAGATTTGAGTTGTCTGCTCATTAGTAGCTGCGCTGGTGAATCAACATCTGACAGCGTGTTCCTGTATTCTAGTAGATTTATGTAAGGATCCCGTCCATCGACTCTGGCTTTTTCCAACATACGTTTTGCTGTTTGGACAGTTTTTTCCGCTAAACCATTCCCTTGTGGATAGTATGGGCTTGATGTTATGTGCTTGAATGCCCATTTGTTTGCGAAATCCTTGAATTCTCTGGATGTATATTGCGGTCCATTGTCGCTGATTACTTTAAATGGTATGCCATGACGGGCAAATGCAGATTTCATATGAATGATGACAGTTTTACTCCTAGTATTTTCAAGTTTAGCGATCTCAAAGAATTTGGAGTAGTAATCCACGATAACCAAATAGTCTTCATTGTTAAGTGTGAATAGATCAGTTCCTACAAGCTGCCATGGTCCATTTGGTATGGGTGTTGGTCTTAATGTTTCTTTTGTATTCTTCTTTCTGAAATCCATGCATGTGTTGCATTTGGATATCATTGAGGCAATGTCTGCATTCATTCCGATCCAATAAACTACAGTCCTTGCACGAGCTTTTGTTTTTTCAATACCGAAGTGTCCTACATGAAGGTATCTAAGGATTTCTGGTTGTAGAACTTCTGGAATGACGATTCTTTCGTTAATCATAACAATTCCATCCACAGATGTTAACTCAGATTTCATCCTCCAAAATTCTTGTAATGGTTTGGACAGCTGATTCCTGTATTCTGGCCAACCATTTTCAATATGATGAAAACACATAAGCTTCAATTTCATCATCTATCTCATCTTTCTGTTTTTTCACTGTAGGTAGATGAGCACGAGACAGCGTGTCAGCTATTATCAAATCTTTTCCCGGAGTGTATTTGAATTCAAAGCAATATTTCTGTAGGCGAAGTAGTAGTCTTTGTAGCCTCGGTGGAGCTTGAACCAGTGACTTCTTGAGAATGTTCTCCAGCGGCTTGTGGTCATTTTCAACAACAATGTTTACTCCATAAGTATACTGGTGGAATCTTTCTAGACCAAAAGTAACAGCTAACAGTTCTTTTTCTATCTGAGCATAACGTTTTTCAGTCTCTGTTAACGCTCTAGACGCATAAGCAACTGGTTTTTTGTCCTGTATAAGCACTGCACCTAGTCCACATTTTGAAGCATCCACACTAACACATATAGGTTTTTTCACATTGAAAAAAGTAAGAACTGGTTCCTTGGACAAAATTTCCTTGATAGCCTTGAACGCATCCTCCTGTGGTTTCTCCCAGATAAACATATTTTCACTTCTGAGTAAGCTTCTGATTGGTTCATTTATGACTGACATGTTTGGAATGAATTTGGCAAGATAATTCACAGTTCCTAGCAGACGCTCGACTCCTTTCTTATCCGTTGGCGGTGGCATGTTGATAATTGCTTCGACTTTCTCTCGGTCAGGTTTTACTCCTTCCTTGGAGATCACATGTCCTATGTAAACAATCTCTGTCTTGTTGAACTGACATTTGTCCTTATTTAGGGTAAGGTTAATTTCCATGCATTTCTGTAGTACGGCTTTTAGTCGTCTGTTGTGTTCCTCTTTATTTCTCCCCCACACAAGTATGTCGTCTATGTCCACTTCAACACCTTCAATACTGTCAAAATGTTGAGCAATCCTCTTCTGAAAAACTTCCTGTGCACTCTTTATGCCAAAAGGCATGCGTCTGAAACAGTATCGTCCATATGGTGTATGAAATGTTGTAAGAAGTTGACTGGCCTCATCTAGTGGTATTTGCCAGTATCCACTATTTGCATCAAGTTTGCTGAAAATTGTGGCTCCGGATAATCTGGTTGTGATGTCCTCAATGGTAGGTAACTGAAAATGTTCACGTCTGATGGCTTCATTCAAGAAACGAGGATCCAGACATATGCGTAATTTTCCTGTTTTTGATTTTTCAGTGATCACAAGAGAATTAACCCAATCAGTTGGTTGGTCAACTTTCTAGATCACTTCCTTGGCTTCCATATCATCTAGAGTTTTCTTGAGTTCCTCACGGAATGCTACTGGTATTTGTCTAGGACTATGAACAACAGGTGGTACGCTACTGTCAACACGGATGGTGTATGGTTCCTTCAAGCATCCTAATCCTGTGAAAACACTTGGAAATTCCTCAATAGGTGAAAAATCACTCTGTAGTTTTTCTGTAGCTAGTGTCACTTTGATCAGCCCTAGTTCACAACAACTCTTATATCCTAATACTGATGGTTGATTTGCGTGTGTAACGTAACATTCAAGTTGTTGATCTTTGTATGGAATAACACTTTCCTGCAATCACCTGAGTAACTCGTAAGTTTCACATTAGTTTTGGTGAGTGTGCTGTTTAGTTTCTTGAAGATTTTCTCTGTGATGATATTCACTTGAGAGCCTGTGTCCAACTTGAACTTGATAGGAATGTTGTTTATTTCCAAACTTGAGTAGATTTCATCTTGACTGTTTCCACTTGAAATAGCACCAATAAAGAACTTCTCACTTGTCTCGCAGCTGTTTGTCATTTCATCTGTTTCTAGTTCATTGGAATGAATAGACTTAGTCCTGCACTTTGATGCAAAATGTCCTAACTTGTGACATCTGTTACATTTTTTCCCGAATGCCGGACATTTTCTTTTCTCATGCTGGCTTCCACATTTTCCACATGTAAAGGATTTTGTGTTGATAGGTTTACTTGACACACTTTGCTTCTTGGGTTGATACACATTTCCCTTCATATATTTCTGGGTTGACGAAAATGTGTTTCCTACTGACGCTTTGACAGACTGTTTATATTTCACAGCATCCACATGTTCCTCATGTTGTAGATCCTTTAATCTATTCTGTGACTCTTCATTAGCACGACACATACTTAAAGCTTTCTGTAATGTGAGTTCATTGTCTCTGAGTAATCTTTCTTTGACTTTCTCTGAATAAACTCCACATACAATTCTGTCTCTTAGCATTTCATCTTCCAATGCACCAAATTTACAGTTTTTGGAAATTATTTTCAAGTCTGTGACATATTGGTCAATGGTCTCTATTTTACCTTGAACTCTGGTGTGAAACCTATGTCTCCAAACTGTAATATTTTCTCTAGGAGCACAGTAGTCTTTGAACTTCGTAAACAGTGTATCAATCTTATCAATATCTTCATCTGGTATTGTCATAGTGTTAAATATTTCTCTGCCTTCTTGACCAATGATATAGAGAAAAGCACTACACTTATCTTTTTCGTTTCTCTCATGCATGGCAATGTTCAGGTACAATTTCATCGTTTGTTCCCACTTTCTCCATCTCTCCGGTAAATTTCCGTCTGTAGTAGAGAAGTCTAACTCTGGTGGAGGATGAATGTGTTCCATTTCTTTTCCTTCTGACACCATGTAATGTTTCTATTAGTCAAACTCAAGACATGTCGTGCTGCATGCTTTTTTTATTCTGCCCCAGAGTTACATTTTTAGACTAAACATTAACAAACTGATATAAACGGAATGGGATAAAAACGGATTGCATGTACATATCATTACAGTCTGGACCTTGGGATGAGACATTATAAACTGTGTCCCGTGTTGCACTAGATGCTGGCATGTAAAAGATCCCTCACTCAGAGTTCTTGAAATCTTTCGGTCCTGTCGGCAAGACCGAAAAAAACAACCAAGACAGTAAGACCGATCACTTTACGTTCTGTGTCAGTCTGAGTCCAAATGACAGGTAGATGTTGAGAAAGCAACTTGCAAAAATCCGACTAAATTTCGTACGAATTCCCTATAACCGACCGATCACAATCTGTTAAACGCTTTTCAGTATCTCGTAATGGCTTCCTCCATGAAGTACCAAACTATGATTGATTAACTGTTTTAACAAGTTTTTGATGGCGATAAGGTATTAGCCAGGTGAGAAAAATCGAACTAGATTAAAAACTTATGATGAAAATTGACCTCCCACAAGAATTCAACGAAATTTGTTACAGGGTTCGAAATTAACTTTTTTTAGCACTAGTCCGTACGGACTAGTGACTTCTAGCTTCCACTAGTCCGCAAACTAATTCCACTAGTCCGTCCTATAGTATGTTAGGGACAACTGCACTTTACCGGTACGTCCAAATAACATGGAAATAGCACGTGCTCTTTCTCTATAAGAGAGTCACGCGTAAGCGTGATGATTTCGCTAAAAAGGCAATAAAATGCAAAAATTGCCTATTTTTTGAATTCCTCTTCATTTTTCATGTTAATAAACTTTGTTTAATTAACGAAGTTATTAATTAAAACTAAAAGCACTTTCAAAACAAACCTTTGGCTTTCATTTTGTCGGCCACATTCCAAAGTCGTGACGTTGTTAAGCACGTGACTTATTTCAGTGCTGTGATTGGTCAGGGTAGGTGACGTGGAATAGAAAGTTTGACTTCCACTCTATTTGATTGTAAACAGTGATTCATCATGCACCTTATTTAAGATGATTTGTGTTGTGTTTTCTATGAATGGATATTTTTAATTGACTGTCTGCAACATTCTAGAATTTTTGGAAATTTTAGCGATAAATGTGATCCTTAGTTTATGGAAATGTTGAATAAGTGGAGGGGCAAAACTTGTAAACATGCAATGAGGACGGTCTTGTTTCGAGAAACAGCAATCGGCACTCGACAGTATAAGAAAAATGAAATGTAAGAGACACATCTTAGATTTCTGGAAACAGAGCTGCAGTAAATCCTGGATTTATGAACTAAAATTTATCTATTTCAATTTGCAAAACACTGGATACTTTACAATCATTGAGGACTACATGGAATGCAGTTAAGAAATCTCTACTAAAACAAGAATGCACTAGGATAGTAGCTATAATTAAAAATTGACGTTTATCTCCATCACCCATAAAAACGTATTTACAACTCATCAAAAAAAGACACAATGGTTCTACATGTATAGTGACACGTACGTATGGCCCCGAGTCTTAACGCAGATTTATCTAACGACTAAGGTAAGTTTGTTTTATTTATTTTTACGTATTGGGGGCTGCCGCCCCCACACCCCTGCTTAAAAAAGCGAAAACCCATTTAGATATCTTTTTTTCTCGCTTCGAGAGTTTCTTACACAAAATTTTTCTTACACAACAAAATGGCGTCGCCCATCATAGTTGATACGTTGCTAAGTTTTTACGCCGCACACTCTCACGCGCGGATCTAGAATCAAAATGGCGGCTGTACCGGTAAAGTGCATTCTATCCGTATGTAAAAAGAATAATACAGATCTTAAAATTTTATGAATTAATTCAATGAAATATGTGTCCACACATCAGTTGAAAGCATGTGGTGAAAGATAGAGGGTTTTCAACTTTCTGAAACTCCTCATGGTCACGTCTTTGTCTATTGATCACAATGTAGAAAACGCTTTATCGCGGTTGCGTTTCTTGTTTATTTTCAAACATCTAAGAGACTTGGAAATAAAATTAATAAAATATGAACCGATTCAAGACTTATATCCGGATTTGCACTAGTCCGTACGGACTAGTACCTTACAAAGTCTGCTAGTCCGACACAATTTTTACTAGTCTCGGACTTACGGACATGAGTTAATTTCGAACCCTGTGTTATACGATAATCAAATTCGCATGAAGTTAGTATGCAGTGTGTATATGACAGAGGGTGCGAAATGTAAAGACAATAAAATTCAAATACAGTTTTAATCTTCTTTAAATTATGTTTAATTATTTTTAATTATTTTGTTGGACTGATAAAAATCTGTCTGGACCGACAAACTTCCTGTGGCAGTCAGTCCAAATGACTTACAGTGGAAAAAAGATTTCAAGAACTCTGCTCATTGATCAATGGCTCTCAGTGCTGAGCAAAGGACAAAATTTGCAGCTCTCCACCAGCAAGTGGTGGCATCTCCATGAGTGAAAAATTCTCAAGAGGGTCGTTAAACAACAAACGATCAATATATCCTTATAAGCACTTGCGCACATAAACACTTTGCAATCATTACACCTGATTGCTGAAGAACTTAAGTAAGAATCACACTAACATGAGCTGATAAGTGAACATACCTCCAGGCTCTAACTCCGAAGTATACCACCACAATGGCAGTGAGGCCTATCAACACATAAAATGCCCTCATCAACATCCCTTTATTTTCTTTAAAGTTAAAAAAGGTACCATCTCCCACATTTTCTGTTCCATTCTTTCCTGTTTCATTGGCACCTGGTTTCGGTGTAGTCGTGCTTAATGTCGATGTACTGCTTTTTGGAGATGCAGTGCTTTCATCCGTGGCTTTATCCGCACTGTCACAAGGAATAACTGTCAAAATTACAATAATGAGGGAAATGTAAATAATTTTTGATGTCATGTTGACTGAACACTGTAATTTCATGATTTGACACGTGAGTCAAGGCGTAAATATCACTCCAACATGAATAACAACATTTTTTCGACACATCACAAGATTCGACGGAAGTGATATGACGAGTAGGCATTAACTTGTACAATGCTTGAGTCGTGCAAAAATGTTGAATTATATTTTGAAAAATTTAAGCCTTCTTTAGAGGGTTTGTAGAAGAAAATAAATTTATTTATAATATGTTATAATATTTTGCAACCCACATAATTAAAATATTCAACATATATACAATTCATTTTTTACGACTATAAATCGGCTGGTTTGTCTAAATTGGACATTTTGGCGCAAAAATTGAAAAACAATATTCTCTAATTCTCAGTGATTTCTTATTATGGAGTATAAAACTTGTAGTCAGTCACCATAAAATTGTTAGGTGTGTCACATAAATGACAAGGACATTTTAAAAAAACTGCATTAGATTTATCACTTCGTTACTTCTTTGATAATGTAAGCAGCTGGGTTGAGATGATACATATGTGGTCTGTGGATGTTTTTCCATAGGTACAGCAATGGTTGACAGTAGGGAGAAGGAAGAATTTCTTAAACCTGCAGTGGATTTGCTACAGCTCAGCAAGACTGATCAGGTAGGAAAAGAGAGTATAGCCAGACTGCTGGAAATTCTTAATGATTGTACATTGTTTAACGTCCCTCGAGAGAATTTTTCACTCACAGTCATATGGAGACGCCACCTCTTGCCGGTGGAGAGCTGCAAATTTTGTCCTATACTGGGCACTCGGGGCCATTGCAGAGTTGTGGAAAACTTTTTCAGATAGCCGGTCATTCGGACCGGTAAGAAAACAAAATAAGCCGGTCCGAAGTGATTTTTGTCGGTCCAAAATAGAAAGTTGCAAAATGGAAACATTTTTTCATTTTATATCACATCTATTTAATAAATCATGCTGTTAATAAAACAAAATTCAGTCTCCATTTCCAAGTACTTGTCAGTTTTCTTTTAATTTTCCATTCATAACAATACTAGATCGATACAATTATACCATCGTTTTTTGGCAGGTGACAATGCTAATTCAGCACAGTCAAAGCAATTTTTAAAAACATTTATACATTTTGGAATTATATTAACCTAGAATTCTTTGCATCGATAATCTGATAATAAATATATCAACACGAAAGGAGAAAAAAAACGAAAATCCGGGACAGTCGGAAATACAAGGTTTAATAAGTGCCTTCTCCACCTGTGCTTGAATTCTTTCTGTTGAAATTTTTCATATGTAGCCCGTCTTTATCTGAAGTTTTTCTTGAATATGTTTTCTACCTAACTCGGCCCCTTGGCAGTTGTGCATTTGAAAGGTCACGAGAACAATGCTAGTTTTGTTTTCATTTATAGCTTTGATCTCGTTTAAAGAAAAGGTATTACATAATCGCATATAAGATACAATAATTAAGATGGGAAATGCACAAAACAAAAAAAAAACTTTTAACCAAAAAAGGGGCCGGTCATTTGGACCGACATTGATAGCATTTTTACCGGTCATGCGAATTTTAAGCTGGTTTTGCCGGCATGACCGACAGTTTTCCACAACTCTGCCATTGAGCAAGGAGGGATTTTTTTCGTGCCAGCATCTACTGCGACCTCGGTTTATGCAGTCTCATCCAAAGGACCGGTCTCCACATCCCATGATGGGATTCATACTTGCGACATAAGGATTGACTCCTTACTTCAAAACGCGAGAGCAGACGCTCTAAGCAGCGGGCGACGATGATATAATGCTGCAGATTTAGAACTCGCTCATCAGAAAAAAAATGGGATGGATGACTAGACAGTAATCCGTGATTCTTCTGACTCTTACATAGCTGCAGATCTGTTGCTATCCGAAAAAATAAATATTGATAGACCGGATAGCTACAGTGCCACCCGTTGAAAAAACTGTATATTTATTGCGCACAAAAAAGTGCGCTCAGTTCTTGATTATCTCTTCCAAATTCATACCTCAATTGCAAAAGAGGGAAGATTTTAAAAAGTTTCTCTCTCCTTTATCAAGTACATTCGTAGATGACATCTGAACGAAGCATATTGGACCGAATTATCTTTGAAACCAAAATTGCAGTATATATTATGGAAATGTTCGATGATTACAATATCAGGGCCAGGAGGACTATTAAAAACAATTATGACGAATGTTTTGTTGTGGAAAGAGTAAAAGAATATGTTAGGAACACACGGTTAGTAATATTTTGAGATTACAGTTTTAGGAACATGGATAAATAAATTGAAAACCGAGCGCACTTTTTGTGCGCAATAAATATACAGTTTTTTCAATGGGTGGCACTGTAGCTATCCAGTCTATCAATATATATTTTTTCGGATAGCTACAGATCTGCAGCTAACTCTTACACTGCTTGTCCATTGCAAATGCCACAATATAAAATCAGGCCTGGTGTAAAAGTCAAAGTAATCTTGGATGAACATGGAAAAATAAATAGAGAAATACCACTTTTTTGTGGACAATAAACAGATAAATAATTTATTGTCCCCAGCTGAAAGTGAGGGATATTAATTTCGGTCTGTCTGTAGTTCTGTCTGCGTGTAACGCTTTCAATTCCATGTGATTACATCTCGAGAAGCCCTTGATCTTTTGCAATGAAATTTTGCACAATAACTCTACATGGCCTAAGGAAGATCACTATTGGATTTGAGGTCCAAAAGTCAAGGTCATAAATTAAAAAAAAATCTGTCTGTTTTAAAAGTTTTGTTTCCACACAATATCTCAATAAATCTTTCAGCTTTTGCATGTTTTGCAATTGTGTTTTATCATGTTTATTGCACAACTCCCTATGGCTTAAAGAAGACCCGATCTAATCCAATAATGTACAGTTATTGACTCTGAGGTGAATACAACTTTTAGATTGTTTACTTTAGAATTAAGAAAAGGTCTTTGGAAAACATTCTTCCCCTTGTTCACTTGAATTATAATTAGTTTATATACAGTCTATCATGTTATCATCAGGCCATCTGTTTTTACAGGTAAATTTGATTCTGTATCATAAACAAATGCTGTTACATGTATTAATTGTGATAATGTGATACCATTATATCTTTTTATTTAATTTTTTTCAGGAGGAGTTTTGGTTGGGATCCCTATATCAGACTTTCCTCATCACAAGAGGTAGACGTACTTCAGATCAGTATCATCAGTTCTTGTCTGGGATAAAGCGAGTAGTAAAGACCAACATTCTGGACTACAGCATTGTCACTGTCAGAGAGCTACTGGACAGTCCCAGAAATCTCACCGTGGACTGCACAGCTACCAGTAAAACTGTCAGAGAGCTAGATAGGTATTGACCAAAGGTCTCAGGGTTCAAAATTTGCTGTATGTTGCAAACATGCCAGTTAGATTATCATAATTGTGAGTTGACAATTTTTTATACTAGCATAAAAAAATGTGACTTGATTTTTAACAAGGCAACTAAGTAATTATATAAAATCCAGTAATCATCATGCTCATGAAGTTCTTGTCCCGCCCTTAAATCTTGATGACTTCTGATTTTAGGAAGATTTTATCTGGGAGATTTGTTTTTACACCTGTGAGTCAAAAGGACCGACTAGCTGTCATTCACCTGGAGGATAACACAGGATCTATTCCCTGTCAGGTATTACTATGACAGACCACATATAACACAGGATCTATTCCCTGTCAGGTATTACTATGACAAACCACATATAACACAGTCAACCTAAATAAAAAGAAACAATGTCAAATACAGTTACAAATTTTGTTGTCACTACCACAATAACTTGAAACAATAGACAAATAATATTTTTTAGTCTGCACAAAACTACAACTAAGCCTACTCTGTAGTTGCCCTGCTGTTGTGTTTATTTTATTAGAATATTTTCTGTATCATTTCCTTTTTTGCTATTCAAAGATTCTCAGAATAAACTTTTTTAACATGTTTAAACTAATGCGATTTTGAACAAGTCTGCTTACATGTAAACTAAAATTTAGACATAGGATTATAATTAAATAAATTGAATGCATATTTAACCCCCTTCCCCGCAGTCACACATTTTAACGCATATACTATTTCCTATTTCTGACGCAAAATCACGCATATACCGTTTCCCCATAATCACGCATTTTCACTCATATTAAAAAGTTCATTTAATCTTAAATTTAATGCCAATTTCCATCTATTTTATGCCCTCAAAAATCTCATAAAATAAGAGAAGTTTTATTTATATTAAAATATTTCGTCATAATATTTTTTACTCTTAACATTAAGAGAAATGTGTACCACGCTATAAGGTGCTTGCGGGGAAATGGTAAATTTCTATTTCTATGACGTGAACATTAAGTGTTTGTTGCATAACGGTTCAGTAAGTTGTAAAGAGTTAAAGTGAACCTATTTCTTTATCAATATTTGTCTTGTAGATACTTTAAATATTATACTTTGTTTTTAGTTCACAAGTTAAATATTGTACTTTGTTATCAGTTTACAGATTTCACTAGAAGGAAGTTGATATATGCCCAAAGTTTATGGTGTATTTTGTCGTCATGGAGACTGGTCAGAGAAGATCAAGGTTCATAGGCTTTGTTTTATTACATTCATAATCCGTAGCTTGAATTTGTCTCGTTTGATCTTTTAAGATATTTTCATTTTATTCCTTAGATAGTTTCATCCATAACGTGAATTTTTGATTTTTAATCCTTAGATATTTTCACATAAACATGCTCTTGTAGGTACAAATTACATTGAAGTCAGGAACTTTATCAAAGAGGAAAATGTGGACAGGAAAAAGAAAGAAATCAAAGTACATGTATTATCAACAACTGACGTGGAAGTCATATTGGAAAACAAGTATTAACATTTGTTTGACCAATTCTGAATAAGAATCTGATTTGTCGATGCTATGAATATACGGGGTAATATATCAAAATCTAAGTTATGTCAGGGTAGTTCAATGTCTTGTGGAATATTGTTTCATCAAAATTGATGACCATGCAAGGCAACAAAGTTTAACGTAGTAAACAAGCAGCACTGCAAAACAAGCCAACATTTTATTTTTATGTGTACATTAATTGTAGTTTTACTCTTTTATTTTTAATTGCAGAGATCAATTAAAACCAGGCTGTTTAAATATAGTTGGAGAAGTCAGCTGTCTCAGTGAGATTATCAAGTAATTCTTTATTAACAAGAGTTCAGACAAATATACTGGACAAAAAAAGTTAAGGATCATCAAATTAAATATGTTTTACAAATACTGTATCATAAAAAACAGAATGCAGTTTAAATTTTAGTATCATATTTTATATTTAAAAAGTGAAAATTAAACATTGGATGTGATAAATTTGTATGAACACGCGCTGCGAATTGTTCATTACCATCACTTTAGAATTCGACATGTTGGGGGTAGACCTGAAAATGAGATTTTCTTCAGAAGAGTCAAATAACGTCACTAAAATGATTGCCAGTATTTTGTATGACCTCCCCGCGAGGCCCTGCAACTCAGACCCATGCTGCCCATCAGTCGTCGAAGGCTAGCCTGAGGGATCTGTTGCCATTCCTCCTGCAATGCTGTCTGAAGCTCCCGTCAATTTTGGGGAAGTGTAAGACGAACTGAAATGCGTTGCTAAAGAATGTTCCAGGCATGTTCAATTAACTTCAGGTCTAAAAAACGGTGGGTGCATACGCTAAGTTGTTTCACTTTCCATGTACTCGTTTACGCATCGGACACTATGAGGTCGAGCATTATCATCCATTAAGATGAAATCCTCCCCCAGAGTACATGCAATACGTCTAACAATAGGATGAAGAATATCATTTCGGTATTTTAAACCTGTCAGGTTGCCTTCAATAATGTGCAGATCAGTTTTGCAGTCGATACTTATGCCTGCCCAAATCATCACCAAACCTCCATTTACTCTGTATTGCTCAGAAATGACACAATCAGCATATCTTTCCCCATTTGCAATCCAAACAAGTCTTCTGTCATCATGGAAGTCAAAACAAAATCGCGACTCGTCTGAGAAGAGAACAGAACACCAATGACGTTATTGCCAATTTTTTGTGTTCTGTTGCCCACTGTAGTCGATTTCTGCGGCACTCTAATTTTAATACAGGACGTACGGCTGGTCGGCAAGCCTTGAGATTTGCTTCCTGAAGTCTGTTTCAAACTGTTTTAGTAGAAATCCGCCTGCCCGTTGCTCTCTGATGCCCAGTATTAAGCTTAAGAGCACTTTGGAAGCTGTGCGTCTCAGCAAAATTGGCCAAATAACGATCCTCACGGACTGCCGTACACCTTTGAGGTCCCGATTTTAGCCTTTTTTGACAATTTTCTGCCTGTAAATATCGGTTCCATAACCGTTAATTCCACTTTGAAAAAGATAAAGTCTTTCTGCAACGTGACGTTGCGTTTTGCCAGCTTCCAGCATCCCTGCTGCCATGAAGTGTCCGTCCATACTCACATGCCTCCTCATAGCGTCTTATCATCAGTTCTGGTCAGATATACTGAAATTTTCTTGTGTTCACTAAAGAAAACCCGCTTTGATACTTCTATGCTTCCATTGTTCCACTTATTTTTTTAATGTCACATACTTTCTTGACCAATATGTCCCAAAACTCATTAAACACGTGTGACTTAAGTATCGAATAGTGTAAATGACATGTTTTTAAAACTACTTGAGCCTTGCTGTCATATAAATTCATGGCTATGAAAATATTATTCTTGTGTAAAAATATGATCCCTAACTTATTTTGCCCAGTATACTACTCCATTTATCTTTGATATCTTTTCTATCTTAAATTGATAATTGTATTAAAATAAATTTTGATTCCATGTGTAAATTTGATAATTTTTTTATTAAGTGACTTCTTTGAAAATTACTTTCTCTTTATTTTTGTGTCCCCCTTTCAAGAAGAGAGGGCATATTGCTTTACTGCTTTTTGTCTGTTATTTCGTCTGTCGTTCTGTTGGTCCACCATAAAAATATTAATGTCAGGTTCTGTTTTGGGTATAATCAAGAAATTTTTGACAGAGTTATGCCTCTTGGACTTAGAAAAATTTCAATTCTTTGCAGTTTCTGTTCATTTTCTTTGCAGAGGCTGAAGTTACTGAAATGAAATTTGGTATACAGATTTATCATAAGAATTTGTTTTGGGTACAATTGAGAAATTTTTGACAAGAGTTATGCCCCTTGGACTAAGAAAAATTCCAATTATTTGCAGTTTTTATTCATTTTCTATGCATGTTCATGTATGTCCAGGGGGAGTGGCATTAGTGTTTTATAAACATCTCTTGTGTTTTTAGAATTAAAGAGGATCTAGTATTTTGCATCAAACTACAGAAAAATATTACCGTTATTATTAAGGTACTTAATAATTTATTTCATTTAATATGAAAAATATTGTATAAAGAAAAAAAATTATATATATATATATACTGTGAACATCTTTTCTTATTTTCAGCCTATGGTAAAGTGAAGTTTTAAGTATATGAATTCATTTATTGTGCTTTGTTTAGTTACTTATGCAAACATTTATAGTATTATGTTGTCACTGGGAGCAACACAATTTCTGAAATTTGAGAATCAACACATTTTCATATTAATGATCTTTATCTATCTCCTCATCATTTGATAATGTTGATGATTGATTTGAATGCAGGACAGGAAGTACCAACACTGGCATGACCTTTTGACCCCACAGAAAGAGTTCCTGTTTCTGGGCCTACTTCCTACTACTCTATATAAGGTAATATTACTTACATAGTTTTATAGTGACAGGGTGCGGGATGATACCTGGTTAGTAAATTTGATATCTGGCAAGGGGAAGCCATGACAGTCATGACAGAGATGGGTAAAGAAATACAAGATGGAAAACTAACTCAATTCTATGCATTGAACATACAAACTAATCAGCCCCTTGACCTTCAGCATTATTCGTTATCCAGGGTCAATCAAAGGTGTACTGAGATTTGCCTGGAGTTTTATTCTATATTCATTACCAGTACTACTTTCAGTGAAACAAAACATGAAACCTCTCTCAATTTGTTTCACCCCTAATGATGGCATACATAGTGACAGTAATACTGTTAGTTTGTTACACCACAGGGTTCTCTCATGGTCTTCTCACTAATGCTATACAGTGTACAACTAATCTGATGACATTTTTACTTTATTCTTATGATTTCTTAGCATTGAATCCTGAAGTAAAAAAACATTTTTTTTACAGGGGACACCTCAAGAGAAAAAAGTTCTGGTTCCCTGGAAGAAATCTGATCTTCTTGCCCCTACTGTGGAAAATATTGAGGTCATTTCTCTCTCTGTAAGTTCCCAATGCAATTAATATATGTGCTAGTTCATTTTAGTAATTTTCTGTAGTCATGGTAACAAGATGCATACATTTTTCCAAATCATTTTAGATCAGAACTTGGAAAAAAAGTACATGTATTGTGTTTATAAATTTGTCTAAATGTGTCAATGTTACTCAAATTTAGAAGTAGATTAGATCATTTGATGATCATTTCATCATATTTATTTGTTTAACACAAAGTATTTATGAATGCATGTATAACATTAAAAGATTACTTTCAAAGAAATGGTTGAGTGAAAATTGCAAGGATGAGAAGATTTCTTTATTAAATCCAGAAGATTTGACCAGAGTGCCTGAGGACCAAGAGTTTTGTTCCTATCAGGTCGGTATCAAAATGTAACTATGTATTAACTATTATATCAAGTCTCTGTATTGAAATGTCAGTTTGTGTCATATCATACCACGTGTTTTGTAGAGTGTTTGATCATTTCAGGGGGAGATAACTAATGTGGACTTGGAGAACTTTGGGTTGTATCAACTGGATAAAACTGTTTGGTATGTATTATCTCCCTTCCTACCAGGTCTTCAAAAATGCAGAATTATGCATTATTGTATGAAAAAGTAATGACAATTTCCATGGGAACTCCAAAGCTATGAATTAACACCATTTTGAAAAGAAAAATTGGTTTTTTTTTTTAATCATCCCTTTGTCCCATTTATTCATTGAAGTATTCAGGAACTTAATGCCATTGCTGTATCTGTTAGCTTTCAATCTGTTAAAGTCTAATTTTTTTTTAGCAGTGTAATATGTTGATATAAAGTTTAAACACTGGTTCACACAGGGTGTTGGTGAGCAGTGTATCACAGCATCATTATCACAGAAGTTTTTATCTGGGTTCCCACGTCACAGTGTACAACAGTCATATGGTGGCCTCCAAACAGGTAATGGTCATACGACACTTAATTATAGATTTTAAACAGATAAAAATCATAGATATTATATTACAACAGTCGTATGGTGGCCTTTGAAACAGGTAAAGTCCTATGACACTCGGTACAGATTCTAAATAGATAAAAATCATAGATTCTGTTTGTGTTCTTTTTTTCTGAATTCATAAAAAATACCCTTTTTCCCCTTTGAATGTTATTTTTCTCTCCAAAATTAAAGAACATACAGTTTGATATATAATATTAAGCTGTTTTGATTTTCCCAAATTTCCCCCAAACAGTGAAACAGTCACTAATTACCAAATGTTAAGGCTTCAGCTACAGTCCCCAGAAGTGGGATGGGAGCCCTGCTGACTAAGTGATCACAGGCCATGTCATACTTGCCAACCTCCAGCATGTAAAAATCTGGTCATGACCAGATTTGGAAAGTAAAAAATCTGGTCATAACGCGTAACGACATTCACGACATATTTACCATGATTAAATTTTATACATATATATACAAAGTATTTGTGTATTGGGAATTTTTTTTTATTGAAAAAGGATTTAATTAAACTATGACAAAAAATTCATACATAATTTGATTTTATTTACATGTTAAAAATGAGAATTGAAGGTTTCATATTTCAGTATTGACCTGAAGTAAGTGTGCATTTTTAAAAAAAAAACTTTTCAGTTTCTCAAACTTTCTGCTAAATTTGAAAGTATACCAATTTAAGTTTTGAAGTTATTTTTCCTCTCTCCTAATTAATTAACCACTACAATATGTTTTAAATGTGAAGTTAGGCCTACACTGTCTTTGATCACTTTATTTTATCTAGAATGAATTTTTTTTTTCCAAGATCCCTTGATATGTACATAAATATTGTTTCTCTTTTTCTTGGTTCAATCAGAGACATGTGTTTGGTTCAATTTGTTCCTGTTGGCCCTGATAACGATCTAGTTCTATCGGAAGCCATTTTAATTGACTTCAAACATTGATTTGTCAAAACAACACCCAGTTAATTGTTTACACCTGCACTGATAATTAATCCATTGGCATTGTAAGATTGTTTACGTAGATCTAAGCTTGGGTTGTAACTGGAAATTAAAAGTGCAACCTAATTTACGAACCAAATCCGGAAATCGGGAGATTTTCGGGTTGTTCGGCAAAAATCGGGTGATAAGCATGACCTGCCGGGTCATAAAAAATAATCGGTTACGGGTTGAAAAATCGGGTGTGACCCGACGAAATCGGGTGAGTTGGCAACTATGGGCCATGTAGGTACAGATTATAGCTCACACAAACCCAGAAATGTTCTTTTACATTTTTCATTTCCTCAATGTTCTGTGTGCATTCACCATGTTATCCTTGTTCACAGTCAAAATACAAAGGATGTAGTGAAATTGTGTGTGTGAAATTGACAGGAAAACCTATCTTTATCTTATCTCAACTTAATGTTTACCGACCATAGTGCTATTATGCACCTATTATACATTTAATGTGAAACAATTTGGGTTTCCCATAGCAGAACAGGACACTGCCATTCTTTATAATTTTAGGGGCTCCCGTCTATTATATTCACTGTTCACGATTCCTCTAGTTTAATTGGGCATTCTAAGAACATGTCTATCAGAGTATCATGTATTTCATTGATTATTATATCTCTGATGCATGGTTTCATTGAATTTCAGGTTCCCAAGATTTGTTTTCTCTGCTGTACCTGTAGTTGTATCCGAGTGTCCCAGTTTTCTAACCTCCTTCCACAAACTAAGGTAAGAATCAAAGACACACAATTCTCTGACCTCCCTCCAAACACAGAGGTAAGAATCAAATACACACAGTTCTCTATCTCCCTCCACAAATAGAGGTAAGATAAGCACCATACACATCTACCTACATGTGTAAAAATAGATTTCAAATGCTTAAAATTTTTTACAGTACTAACATTCCAATATTCAAAAAAAAGTTATTGAAATCAAATGGGTATGTAGTAATACTTCCACATTATACATACATATTTAAATTACTATATAATCACATATGATATAATAAGGCTTGTGGGCCACAATGCTTAGCTGAGAAACTAAGGCCCTTCAGTTCATTTAAATAAGCAGAATTGTTTGATTTATATTCTAAGGGTTGGACCTAAATGTGGTCATAGTTTGAACAAATTAAAATCACTACGACTTTTGGCGGGTGTGACTGTCAACAGGGGATGCTCACTCCTCCTAGTCACCTGATCCTAACTTCTGAAGTCTCCAGGGCTTTATGTTTTATACCCTCATCAAAGATTTGTATTCGTTATTATTTTTTTGATAAATCACAGTTCATTATTTTCACCTTTTATGTAGTAAAAATGTTTGAGTTCTTCTCAATTTATTATTTTGATGATAGTAGAGATGTCTAAATATTGTAAGGAGTGTTGTAATTGTTGAGTGTCCTTTGTAGAACATAAAATTGTCGGAGTTTGTCAGACGCCAGCTATGGAGGTATTCAGTCTGCAGTACATGGATGCTCCAGTTTGCCAGTTTCCTCATTTCACTCTACTCCAAGTTCAGCTCTCTCTGGTAAAGATTATATTCTACTCCCCATTAAGTCTTAGATTTTCCCTTTTAGTCAGTGCAAGAAATATGTACAAGTGTCAAAGAATTTTGTAGAGATCTCTATAGAAATTGCATAGGCAGGTATTTTACCAGAAAATACATTTAGTCAGGGTTAGATAAATTTTGACAGAGATATCACTCTCGAACTAAAAACAATAAGGAATTTTTAGTTGATTATGAGAGACATAAATTGAATAAAAAGTAAGCTTAAAGTTTGCAATTTTGGTTAAAAAGAAATTAGAATATTAAACATTTTAAAACAGTACAATTCAGTAAATTTAAACAAAAGCCTTAAGTTGGGTTCAATCAGTTCACATGCCAGATACTTTCACTAGTGATGAAACGATTGTAGCCGATGATCAATTGTCGATCGTTTTTGGGTGTTTGATTCCGATTATCGATTACATTTTTCATAATCGATTGTCGCCCAAATAATTCACCCAAATAAACTTGTATGATTTGAACTAAACTAATACATACACATTTACAATACATGTAAAACCAAAGGAGGTCAACAAAAATGGTGTCCGAAGGCGAAGTTAACAACAATCAAGTAGAAATTTACCCATATCCAGGGAATGCATAGATAGAACATTCTATCGTTAAAATGATATTTTCCTACGGACCCGGTTTAAAGATAGAATTCGTTCCGTGTATTTGTATAATGTAGCAAAAGAAACACGGGCAATAAATCATATAATCAGTGCATTAACTACGGACAATCTAGAGAGTTCCGAATGTAAACATGGCAGGTAAATTTGAAGCGAGAGAAAAACGTTGAGAACATTAATTGGATTTTCATCTTTATATGGATTATATTTTGGGATAAAATGCATAAGCAATCTCAAAAAAAGATTGTTTTGATTTATTTGGAAGTTATTTCCAGTGCAGATCCTTTTATATTCTTCAAAATCGTGTCGGAGCGTATCCGCTCCAATTTTCTACATTGCAAGTATATGGGATATTCTAACTGTGGTGAGGGCTTGTACCGAGACACAGTAAGATTATTCCAATTAGGGAATGCAAAATCTGATGTCATGACAAACATTATTAGTTTTATAAGCAAATATTTAAAAAAAATTCTGTTTCTTTGTTACTTATACAACAAAAAAGTTGTCTTTAGAATAAACTTGAAAAAATTTTATTTTTAGTTTGTTCCATAAATGATAAATGATGTAAAGAAATAGAATTTTGTATTTGAAATTTGAATTACCAATTAAGTCGATGATTGATCGATTAAGCTTCTCTGATTTTGACCGATTATCGATTATGAAAATTTCCCGATTATTCAACACTAACTTTCACCATTAGACTATGAAAATAGTTTACCAAATCACCCTTTTAGGGAATCACTGTCTAGTTAGTATAATATGCCAGGGCATCAACGATAGTTGGAAGCAAAGCCCGTTATGCATAAATTATCCCATGTTTTCCACTATTGTTGATGTCCCTAGCATACTATACTAACTAGACAGTGATTCCTTATATTTCCATTTCATTGTGAAATAAAATTGTAGATTTAGATTTTTGAAATGTAGACATAGATTTAAATTACACAAGAATTCCCATGCCAATTTCAATAGTCCTCGGCCACTGACGTTAAGCACAAAGGCAGCCGCACGAGATTTACATGCATTTTTGGCCTCCTTAGCGTCAGACACAGAGACAGATGCGCATGAGATTTGCATGCATATTAGGCCTCCTTAGCTCCTGACCTATCGACCTGCCTAATTTACATTCCGGTAGAATTATCAAGAAATCAACTCCGCTAACTTTCAAAGGTTATCACAGAGACAAAAATTAGAAATGGAAATATTACAAAATATTTCCATTTTTAATTTTTTTTTCTCTGTGATTACTCTTTGAAAGTTGGGGAGTTGATTTCTTAGTAATTCTACCAGAATGTAAATTAGGAAAATCGATAGTTCAGGGCTTAGGAGGCCAAATATGCATGTAAATCTCGTGTGCATCTGTCTTTGTGCCTGACGCTAAGGAAGCCAAACCCATGCCAATTTCAATAGTCCTTGCCCACTGACGTCAAACACAAAGACAGCCGCACAAGATTTTCATGGATAATCTATTAGGTCTACATTTTCAAACTCTAAATCTACAATTTTATTTCACAATGCAATGGAAATATAAGGAATCACTGTCTAGTTAGTATAGTATGCCAGGGACATCAACGATAGTGGGAAACCTAGGATATTTAATGCCCTAGCATACTATATTAACTAGACAGTGATTCCTTAATAAATTCACAAAACATTTAAATTTCAATTTGTGACACAGTGTCTTCAAAAGTATATTGCATCGATGTATAGAGCCACCTTAATAAGGTTAACACTGTATAGTTTTGAACTTAGTTAGGCCCCTTAACTTTTTAAAAAGTCTTTTATAGAAACAAATTTAAAACAATATCATTTTTAAAAAAGGCTTTGATTTTAATTTGCGAGTGGTCTTGTGAAATTGCAAATTCACCTCATTGGTACTCACAGTTATTAGTACCGGTAAGTTGTATATTTAGGAGTATAGGGAAAAAAATATACTCCTGAAGTGTTACAAAGCACACACATTTTTTCCATTTAGATTCTTGTGTATAATAATAGACTAAGGGACTCTTTTTATAGTCCTCAGTTTGATTTGTTGTTGGAGAGATACATGACCAGCCGTGCTGAGCTCCCAAAAAGAAATTACCTGCAGGAATTCCTGTCCTCCCCTCACAGCTGTTTTCTGTACCAGTCCATACCCGAGATGGAGGTATGTGATTGTCTGTAAGAGTTACCTCCCTGTCACTGTTTAAAATAAATTATCGATAAATGTAATTAAGTTCATGCTGTTGATATCATGCAAGCTAGGGGACAACAAAACATTGTGAAATAAATGCAAAAAAATTTAACTTTGGTAATTATTCACTATCTGTTTTACTGTATGATAGATAAGGAAATATGAAGCTGTTTCAAGTATTGCAGTCTTATATCAAAATATTCTGAATTACTCTCTCATTTCAGCCAATGTGTCCACTTTTCCCTGACTTGGTTCTGTGCTCTGATATCAGTTTTGACACAAAAGCAATACACAGAGTCGGGCATTATCTGATTCAAGGCCTGAGAAATACAGACAGACTGAATAGTGTCCTCTACTGGCTTTATCATACCGAGGATAACCAGCAAAATAAAACAAAGGTAAACTGAATAATGTCCTCTACTGACTTTATCATACCGAGGATAACCAGCAAAATAAAACAAAGGTAAACTGAACAGTGTCCTCTACTGACTTTATCATACCGAGGATAACCAGGAAAATAAAACAAAGGTAAACTGAACAGTGTCCTCTACTGGCTTTATCATACCGAAAATAACCAGCAAAATAAAACAAAGGTAAACTGAACAATGTCCTCTACTGGCTTTATCATACCGAGGATAACCAGCAAAATAAAACAAAGGTAAACTGAATAATGTCCTCTACTGACTTTATCATACCGAGGATAACCAGAAAAATAAAACAAAGGTAAACTGAGTAATGTCCTCTACTGGCTTTATCATACCGAGGACAACCAGAAAAATAAAACAAAGGTAAACTGAGTAATGTCCTCTACTGGCTTTATCATACCGAGGACAACCAGCAAAATAAAACAAAGGTAAACTGAATAATGTCCTCTACTGGCTTTATCATACCGAGGATAACCAGAAAAATAAAACAAAGGTAAACTGAACAGTGTCCTCTACTGGCTTTATCATACCGAAAATAACCAGCAAAAT